TACCCAATTAATTTTCGACAGCCAGAAACACCATTAATGCATCATACTTTTATTTTGGAGGAATATAAGCATGAAAGTAATATTGAGGTTACTAAGGAAATTAGGGAGTTGTAATCTCATTTGGTGGAAATAAATTATCCATCCATTAAATGAATAGAGTGACCTTAATTGGATTTCTGCTAGTGTTCAAAAGAAACATTAATCTGTAAACTATTTTAAGAGAGAAGAAATTTATGCCTAGGTGAAATTATCTAAGAAATAGATATTGAATTATAGTATTGGAATAATCTTTAGAGAGACTGCAACAAGAAGCACGTAGGATTTAATACCAAGTTACACAAAGACCTTTTTGTTGTTAAAGTCCTTCCGATAAATTATAACTTGAAAACTTGTATGGAGTCAGAACCTTATTATTGATGGATCTTTCTTTTTATATACGAGTATGGAAACAACAAATAATATATATATATATATATTTGCTATGGAGAATTTTAAAGTCATTGAAATGATGCTTATGTTTTGGTGGTAATTAAGGTTATATCCACTAAAGACTACGGAAAATACTTTCCAAATTATTCACATACTAATTTCCCAAAAAAAAAAAAATCAGAAAATAAATAGTTTTAATTACACATATGAATGTCAGAAAAGATGTAAACATAACATGGCATTAAGGCTCCTTAGGTAATTAAGAATTTAATCTTGTGGTGAATAGAGAATGTTGTTATACTACTAAGAGGCTCTTCATGATGATAATCAAACAAAGATATAATATTTCCTGATAGTGTTTGATAGTGATGATAAATGCATTAATTATTATTGGAAAATATTAGGCTCTAATGAATTTTGATGTTCAACATAATCTCGAATAATAGTCATTTGTGAAGATAAAAGATTTCTTTTAAGAGATCTATATTGAAGCACCATCAAACCTCCTTAGGTCCTAAAACCTCTGAAATTGGAAGGTCAATTCTTATAGAATATATATAAACCTTTACTTTTGGGAGATAAGAAAGGAGATATCACAATTTAAACCGATTCCATTGTTAAAAATACGATGACAACTCTATTATGTAAAAGAAACCACCTAGGAACCGAAGGAGATAATGAAAGATGAATATCCGCATTTGTCACAATTTCCTGATAAGTACAAATTTGGAGGACTAATTTTTTTTAAGGAGGCGAGATTGTAACATCCCGCATAAATAGAGACGCTTGATTTTAGAATCTCATTTAGAAGAATTAGTGAATTAGAGATGTTTTTGGAATTTAAGAAAAACAAAGAGAATTTTTTTAAAAGTAAATAAATAAAGTTTAAATCCAAAAATTAATGAGATTGGAAAGATGACCAAATTGAAAACAAAGTTGGAAGTCCAAGCATTCGGTAATTAAATGGGGACCCTAAATGAACAAACATACTTGATTTGGGGCCATTATGTAATTTTGACAAACTTGGCCATCCCAACAATCTAATTGAACGACCTATATTTTAAATGGAAGATCAGATGCCCTGTGATATCCCAAGTGCTAACTAAGGAAAATAGGTGTCAGATATAGATTTAGAGTAGCGAGTGCATAATAAAATTTATGCAGCGGCATAAAATCATTACAAATCCCTTACCAAATACATATGAGTTCCAATACATACATATTCTGAGACCAGAAGTGGCTGCAAAATACAACACAAATATAAGGGCTACTTTTTTCACTATGTTATTGGACTCATCAAAGTGCGGGAACAATCATACAGTCAGACTTGTGGATCCACGGGATCTTCATATACTTATGAGGGTAGGTCAACTTATGGTTCCTCGCTTTCATCCTCATCTGGGGATGGGAGTCATGGAAAGCGTGAGTTCCATATGCTCAGTAAGGAAAACAATATTAAATTAATATCGTAAGATTTCAAAAGTTAGTTATTTTATCTTACCATTTAAATTCCTTTCTTACCTATCTCACATTATGGAAAACTATTTATTTATTAAGAAAATGATACGTTAGTACAAACAATCAAACATACATCATGCCAGATAATAGAGAAAATCAAATAAATAATGAAATATTCAAATTTTCATATCATTCTTCGCGAAGTCGTTACAACTTCAATCTATAAGGGCATATATATATTTCTAACTACCCAAGTAGAATGACAAGATCAGATACAGATACGACAATTTGCGCAAGCCCATTTCCAGTTAGCTAAACCATGGTACGATCTATGACCACGGCCGTACCAGTCATAGTGGCCCTAACAAATATCTCTAGTCACGACATTAGTTAGTCACGGGTGACCCCTATACATAGTGCGACACCACTCTTGTCAGAGGGCACGCCGTCATCCATTAGGAGTAGTCCTCTTATGTCTTTTCAGACCATATAGGAGAGGAGAAAACAGATACCCGAAGGGTAAGGGGAACAAATACCCTTCAGAGATAAAAAGTCTAACGAGACACTTGATGCAATATGCATGTTAATACAGATACACTTCGGACCATACAGGCTTCATTCTACTTTTTTGTTTCTTTTTTTCTTTTCTTTTATACTTTTTACTTTTACCGATTACATATTATATTGATTACATACAAATTAATCAAGTGTCAGCAATTCACACAGCATGTTTGAAAATAAGAACAATTCGACTCTTTTGAACACAAAAGCATATAAAACAGAAAAAATAACAATCATATTAAATTAGTTTATCTAAAAATAATACTCCTTAAGACGTCAAAAGAAATACTAGATTCCTTATCGAAACCTTGATGTCTTCTCCCTCACTGTTCTTTTTTTTTTCTCTTTTTTTCCCACTAGACTACTATCTTTCTCTCTCTCTCTCTCTCTCTCTCTTTATAAACCTTTGTAAAATGAAAGTGTGAAGAGGAAGTGAAGGGAGAGAAAAATATTTAGAATTTCAAAATCGTTGGATTCACACTAAGTGGCAAAATTTGGTGAAGACAGAGGAGAAAAAGATGCTAGGCATTAAAAAGGAGGGAGGAGGGCCTCCTCCATTGATGGTGGCGGTGCACCGCCCAAGACAGTGGTGGTGCACTGTCTGAGGTGGTAGTGCTTTAGCCGGCGTGCTGCAGGCGCACAGGTCTCTTGTTGCGTGCGCAGGGCTTAGGCGCACTGGGTGCCATGCGTGTAGGGCCCAGGCACACAGGGCCTATCCGCGCAGGCCTATTGTGCGGATGGCACACGCACAGTGTGCGGTGCCTCTTTATGCGCAAGGTGATGCGCAAACAGCTGCCTGCGCGCGATAGGATGCGCGCGCAGGTCCTGACTCCGTGTCGTACGCGCAGATGGGACATGCATGCTGTGTGCACGTCGTATGTGTGCACGTCCCGCAGCCATTGTGCATGAATGCATGCGCGCAGAATGCCCAGCACCCACGCAGGCAACCAGCCTTTTCGCAGGATTTTTCCAGCGGGAATTTTTTTTCATGTTTCGCCGTTTTTTTGATTCTTTTCTAAATTTTCCATTTTTAAT